CACCCCAGCCCCCCCACCCCCACCCTTTGGTCTGCAGGTCCGAGAGGCCAAGTGTCCTGGAGGCGCCCCTCAGGGCGAGGATCAGGAGGAGACTGCAAGGCTAGGCCCAGGTCGGTGTGAGGGACGCTGCTGGGGGGCGTGGGGAGGGGAGGGGAAGGAAAGGGAGGGACGTGTGGAAAGCCCCGGCTGAGACCCCCCAGCCCCCAGTCTCCTCCCTCTGTCACCCTCCCCTCATTCTCCCCACCCCTGTCATGCTCCCATACCCGCCCCCTGCTCCCCACACACAGTTCATCCTCCATTTTGGTGCCTGCTGAGGCCTGGCTGTGAATCTATAGGGAAAATGGTGGGCTTGGGGGGCGGGGAGAGGCCAGTATTGGGAACCTGTAGAGGGCGCACTGGGCTTCTCAAGAGCAGAAAATGAAATGTTAACAAGGCCTTTGAAATCCAGGGTTCTGAGTTTTGAAAGGTGCATAGTAGGGCCTCAGGTCCTCAGTGTTGATCCATCTACCAACAATTCAGTCTCTGCTCTTGTGTCTTGCCTTCTAGGAGTAATGGAGTCCAAAGAGGAACGAGTGTTAAAAAATCTGGATGTGGAAAATGGCAACAAGGAAGATGAAGGAAAAGATGAAAAGGAGCAAGATGCTAATAAAGGGGAGCCCATGGGCCGCCCTTTGGAAGCTGGTGAACACTGTGTGCCTAGAGGAAATCGTAGGCGATTCCGGGTTAGGCAGCCCGTTCTGCAGTATAGATGGGATACCTTGCATAGGCTGGGAGTGCCACAGGCAAGGATGAGGAAAGAGAATATGGAGAGGTTTGGGGAGGAAGTGAGACATCTGATGGAAAAGCTCAGGGAAAAGCAGTTGAGTCATAGTCTGCAGGCAGTTAGCCTTGACCCTCCTCACCATGGCCATCGTGATGAGTTTTGCCTTATGCCCTGAATCCTGCTGTCTTCCCTTAGTAAGGAGACCCCTGCTTCTTAAACTTACATATTCCAGATGTACCTTGTTGTAAATCTTTTGGTGTTACTTGTATCTTGTGGGTCTCCCATTACCAGTTTCTAATTGAATATAGTGTTTTTGACCCAGTTTGTAAGTCTCAGCAGGGGAATTTTATCTCTTGCATGAAAAGATGTTGATTATATATTGTAACATTAATAAAGCAGTTTAAAAGGCATTTTTTGTATTCTTTTTTACTTCAGATTATATATCTTTGTATGTGAACATAAACATACATAATGTTTATGTGATAGAATTATGAAGGATTTTTATTTCTTGTTGCTTATCTATACTCTTTTTATTGGATTAAACATGAATTACTTAATAAAAATAAACTTGATTGGGCAGGCAAGTGGTGTGGTGGTTAAGGGCCCCGGACTCCCACATGACTGACCATGGTTCGAGTCCCAGACCTGGTGACTTGGTTTTTCAATTTTTCTCTCTCTGTTCCTCTCTGGTCAAGTTAAAATAAGTAAAGTTAAAATAATTCTTTTAAAAAAAATTTGACCACCTTACAAAAAGAATGTGAGCACTTACTAAACACTTGTGATAGAATCTCAGTTTTAGTTTACCTCTGAGATCCCTTATTTAGAAATGTAAGATGATAAGAGATACTTCCTTCTGAAGATCATTATGTTTAATCAGTAAGATGAAAGTAATAGTTACCTCCTAGAGCTGCCGTGTGGACCAAAAGCAGTAAGTTTGTGAGCTTTCTCCAATTTTTTATTCCCATTGACATGGAAGACCAAACCCTCTAGCTATCCCTTTCATTTATTAGGGGACCTCTCCAAGGTGAGGTCTTATATATAAAAGTCAGCTAAAGGACAGGTACTTCTATTCCTCTGCTGCTACACACTATTACCATGCTCTTCTCTGGGTATTCTGTCAGGTCTTGCTCCCTACTCAGACCACCACTACTTCAGATATTCAGGAATCCTCAAGGTGAGAGTCCAGCTGATTGCTCTGGAAGCCCCAATGGATTGAATCCTTAAATGTGCTCTAGAAGTGGACAAATTCCCCATCTTAGATTCATCAATTGATCTCATCTAGTTCTAAGGACATCTCCCCAGTTCAAAAGACCAAGACAAAGAAGGGAACACAACTATTTCTATTTGAATTCCTCATACCAGTGTACATCCACCTGAAACCTATGAATGTATAGAATTTTGTTGAGTTGGACACTGAAATTATGTCAATTAGTAGATGACCAAATGTGGGGATCTTTATGAGAAGTCCATGGGAAAGCTCTTGGGATTGTATCCCAATAGAACTTGGGGAATAAAGCCCCTCATAGAATGTGCTAATGAGGTGAACCACATTTTATGTATGAAGATAGTCTTGTGGAAGAAAACTTGCAAGTTAGCATTCTAGTATGGGTTGGCAAATAGCCTGTTGACAATCTAGTCCACTGCTGCCATTTTATAGTCTATAAGAATGATTTTTACACTTTATTTTGTTGTGGGGTTTTTTTTTGTATTTTTTTACACCTTTCATATTTTATTTTGTTTTGTTCTTGGCAGGGGGTGCATGCAGCGAGAGATGGGTGGGGGTTGAGGAAGTGGGTGGAGTGAGAAAGCATCCACCATGGGGTTTGGTCACTCTGCAGCCCCTTTTCGACCTCCTGACTCTTGGGATTTGGGGTACACACACATGTACCAGGTGTGTCTCAGGTTGCTAGGTCTGGGAATCAAACTGTGTAGTCACGTGGGATTCAGCTGCCTTAACCACCCACACCATCAGCTGGCCTTAACTTTTTGTTTTGTTTTTGTTTTTTTCTATAGTGCTGTGCATTCACCAGGGACAGAGACAGAGGG